CCCTGTGCCAGGAGGGGCTGCCAGGTGTTCCAGCTGCAGGAATGTGGGGCTGGGGGCTCTCTCTGTGCCAGGAGGAGCTGCCAGGTGTTCCAGGTGCAGGAATGTGGGGCTGGGGGCTCTGCCCTGGCCATGGGTCCCTAATTCCAGCTGCAAGGCAGACCCTGTCCCACCACAACACCCTCACTGCCCAAAGCACAAATCATGCGATTAAAGCAGACAAAGATGGGTTACATCTCAGTCCTTCCAAAGCCCCAGGTGCTCTGCAGAGCCTCAGGTTCATCACCAGACACAAACTGATGCAGAACTTCTGCTCCTAAATCTCGTATTGGGCCAAAGAACAAAAAGAGGTTTAGCTGCACTGTAATCTCTTTTTCCGAAATCCAGGCATATTGAAGGAGATTATCTTTTGAAAACTGAAGGAAACTGTGCTATTGTAAACCTCTAATCCCCTCTCTCCTTTGTAGGAAACAAGATAAATATCTTGATTTCACTCAGCACAATTACAAGAATCTTTTCTCTTATCAGAAGGTCTCTGTTCCCTTCAGGGAGGCGTTTTTGGAGCTTGGACAAGGCTCCAGCAGTTCCTGCTCTTTGGGGAGCCGGGTTTGGGGGAAGGAGGCTCCTCTGACACAGGGTGGTGACTTGGGCTTTGTGGAACTCCCACATTCCTGCACCTGCCCCTGGACCCTGCAGCAGATCCCAAATCTCCCCTTCCTCTGCCCCTGGACCCTGCAGCAGATCCCAAATCTCCCCTGACTCAGCCCAAATTTGTCTGCAGGACCTCAGATGGTCACAGCTCCCTGTGCCCTGACAGCCCCAGCCACAGGGAATGGCATGTGCAGGCTGGCACTGATGCCAAGCTGGGAAACCATGCCAGGGAAGTTGGAACATAAGTTTGGTTGTAAATATTGGCAGAGCTTCATTAAAAAATTAAGAAAGCTCCTTCAAGAAATGACAAAACTCTTTTTTTTAGTTGTTACTGAGTCTAATCATCCCCCATATTTTTAGAGAATTCCTTTCCAGGTTGGCAGCTAATGAAATTTAGGTGAAAATCAAATTACCTCTTGTCTATTTAACAACATTAACATTTCCAGGCAGCAATCAGATCCCCTCAGCTTGGGCTTGGTCTGGAGCCACTTCTGCTGGCACAGGGAGCTGATCCCTGAACTGAAACCTCTGGAGTGGAAAATACATCTTGAGCAACCTCTGGCTGCCCTGCCCTGGGCAAAACAAATGAAATATCACTGAACTCACCATTTTTAAATGCTCATCATTTGCTGTGTCTCTCAAGCTTTTGCTCAGGCATTTCCAATAAAAGAATTTAGTGGGAATGTGCTTTATCAGCACCTTGGCAAAGGGGGAAACTCTTCCCTGATGGTGCCATGAATAAAGGAACTGCTGGGGAAGGGGCAAATCAGACCCCAAAGCTCTGCAGGTGCCACCAGCACAAAATCTCCACGCTTGCCTCCAAAATACCTCCAAAAATGCCCAGGGCAAATCCAGTGTGAAACAGGGAGTGCAGGGAATGGAGGGGAGGGCAGAGCAAGCCCAAAACATCCACCTGGGGTCCATGAAGGTGTCCTGAAGGAGACAGAACTTCTCAGAGCTCTGACTCATCTTGCAGGATCATTAAAATTCCCAGGAATTTCAACCCAGTTCAAGAACAGGAGGAGATATTTTACCTTTCAGCCCAGATCCTGAGAGACCTTCTGGGTGCACCAGGAACAGCTCTGAGGGACAGCCTCTTCATTTCCTGAGCTGAGCCACAGCTGCAGCCCATGAAATCCCACCCTCAATGAAATCCCACCCTCACAGGTGGGGTGGGGTCACTGCTCCACCCCCAGAACACCTGCGCTGTGGGGGAACCCTGGCTGAGAGCCACGCACCACAAACCATCCAAAAACCATCACAAACCATCCAAAAACCATCACAAACCAT